CAATAAAAGAAAAGTTGCCTGGTTCATTTTATAAGAATCTATAATCTTGATTCCAGAATAAAACAAGAACAATGTAAGATAATGAAAATGTCCATTTCACTTATGAATATAGATGCTAAAATTTTAAATAAAAGTATTATCCAACTATATGTTTACAGTTTCTTAAAAATTAACATATAATCATGTTTTTCACAGAAGGTAGGTGCAGCTTAACTGTAAATCTATCAGTCCATCACCACATTAATAGAATAAAAGAGAAAAATCATGATTACCATAATGTAGAAAAATACCAGTTAAACTACAAAATCACATTATACTTAATATTTAATAGTACAATGTGCATTAAGTACAATGGTTCTGTATGTTTTTGCCTTGATACTAAGAACAATCCAGTGCTGTTACCATTTGACATAGCACTATCCTCTGGAAAGAAAAGGAATTAAGATATAACGATAGGAGGAGAGTAAATATAATTGTCATTATTGGTAGATGGTATGAACACTTACCTATAAAAACCAACTAGAACCCGTAAGAGAGTAAGATTGCCAGGTTGCCAGTCAACTTACATATTTTGTTAGTCCCTCTCTGCCATCTCTGGTTTTAATTGAGAATTTTATATTCTGGGGTTGTTTTCCTCTCTTAGGTCCCCCTATTCCCCAGACTCGTTCAAGATTTCCTTTGTGTTTGATTTTCTGCATCCTGAATATGCTATACCTAGGTTTATATTTGTATATTTATATTTGTCCTGTTTGGTATTCTCTGTGCTTCCTGGATCTTTGGTTTGGTGTCTGTCATTAACCTTGGAAAATTCTCAGCCATTAATACTTCAAATATTTCTTCTGTTTTCTCTCTTTTTCTGATATTCCAGTTATGCATAAGTTAACACTTTAAAAAAAAATTTAATTGGGGAATTGGGAAGGGGAACAGCCAAGTAGTTGTCCTTCAATTTTAGTTGTGGAGAGCGCAGCTAGCTCAGCTCCAACTCCAGTCGCCATCCAGCCGCCCATCGGCAGCTCAGCCCAAGGTGCCGTGTTCAATCTTAGTTGCAGGTAAGCGTAGCCCACCATCCCATGCAGGAGTCAAACCAGCAACCTTGTTGTTGGAATCATGTGCCCTCACCAGCTGAGCCATCCTGCCACCTGTTGGCAGCTCAGCGGCAGCTCAGCTTGGGCACAGCTCACTGGCCCATGTGGGAATTGAACCAGCGACTCTGTAGCTCAGAACTTGCACTCTCAACCAACTGAGCCACTCGGCCAGCTCCTAACACCTTTTTTTTTTTAAGATTTTATTGGGGAATTGGGGGAGGGAACAGCATTGGGGAATCGGGGAAGGGGAACAGACAAGTTGCTGTCCTTTTGTTCTTCAGTCTAGTT